TGCACCTATGGATGAGGACAGTGGGTGGGGAGTGAGGGCGGAGGGTGGGGTGGGAACTGGGTGGAGGGGAGTTATGGTGGGAAAAAAGAGGAACCAATGTAATAATCTGAACAATAAAGATTTAATTTAAAAAAAAAAAGAATGGGAAGAACTTGGGTGCCAATGAGTAGCACCAAAAAAAGAGAGGAATTTGCAGAAGGAGGTACAGATCATCATTGGAATAAAGTTCCCAAGTAGGTAAGAAAGAACAGGATGTTTAGCAGGAGGATAGCTCTTCCATTTTAACAGGAATGAAGAAGTAGGGAATGTAAACATGAAAATATAGGTGGAGTTATAGTTTCTATGGTAAGAAATTGAGGCAATTTTCTCTTATAGCATGTATTTTCTATCCAATACAGAAGATATTGAGTACTATTAACTGAATGTTTGTATCCCCCCACAATTCATATATTGAAACCCAAATTCCCAATGTGATAGTATTTGGAGATGGGACCTTTGTGAGGTAATTAAGTCATGAAAGTAGAATATTCATAAATGGGATTAGTGCCTTTATAAGATGAAACACTAGAGAGCTTGCTCTCCCTCTCTTTCTTGGCTACAACAATATGAGGGCATACCAAGAAGAGGGTGCTTACCGGGAACTAAATTGGCAGGCACCTGGACCTTGAACTCTCAGCCTGTGAGAAATAAATTTCTGTTGTTTAAGCCACCCAGCCTATGATATTTTTGTTATAGTAGCCCAAACTAACTAAAACAAGAGGAAAGTTGTGAACAATGAAAGAGAGTAGACTAAAAAAAAATGTCAGGAGAATGGATCCATGTAAGAGCATAATTGAGGTTAACAGTAACAACTTCATTGTGGGACTAACCTATCCTTTTTTTGTGTGATTTTTCTCTAAAATGTTCCTCAACAGTGCAGGAAAGATAACTAGTTGGATCAAAAATTTTCCAGCTATTCTTCACCAATACCACTCCTAGGGCAATGGAAACTAAAGGGAAAATTAACAAATGGGATGACATCAAAATAAAAAACTTCTGCACAACAAAAGAAACCATCAAAAAAACAACAAGAAAACCCACTGCATGGGAGAACATATTTGCCAACAATATCTCCGATAAGC